AAAAAAAAAATATATATATATATAGAAAAAAAATTGCAGCCGCTTAGAAAGTTTTCAAAATTTCACCACGTGCGCTTTTCCTTTTTCTCACACAAAAATTATTAGAATAAAAAAAAGAAGGAAATTTTGCACATTTTAAAAATATTATGTTATGTAAAAGCTATTGAGGCAGAGATTATTTTTTGAGTTATTTTATGTCAAAGTTAATTTCATTTTTACTTTTTTTCGTAATTCAGAATGGTAAAAATTTTAAGCTCGAAAATTATGATTTATTTTAAGCCTCATTATCTCGTGTCCATAAACAATCACTGCGTCTCAGTTTGCTCAAATTTTGAAATAGTTTGGAGTAATTAAATTGTTTATATCTATGTTTTTTTCAATTTTTTGACGTATAAAAAAACTAATCGGAGAATAATTGTAATTTTTTGCAGCCACGTATAATGATCGAAGTTAAAAAACTTATTATTAGCAGTTAATAAACAGTTTTACTCACAGTTAACGGTTTGAATACCATCTTATTTATGGTTATTTGACTGCTTTGCTTGAATATGGTAAAATAACAATTAAATAAATTGATATTTAAAAATATTTTCCCAGAAATTTCTAAAAGTGTACAAGCATATTTTTCTTCCTTTTTTTTGAAAAAAGTTTGACAAAATATACAACAAAAAAAGTTAATTAACGAACCACTTTGAATAAATTTCGATCTAATCATCGGATTGTTCTAGGACTCATTCTTAATGATTCGATTGGGTAACCTCAAATATGCTAATTAATTAGTGCGAAAGATATTTTAAGTCACGAATTCAGAAATTCATATCTATTCTTACACGAATTATTCGTATATATTTTTCTCGTATCATATACTTAGTATATTTAATCGAATTTTAAATTTACGACTTTTTTAAAATTCGATTTCTCAGGAGCTGTTCAACTGATTTTGCTCAAATTTTGTATTTTGCTATGTAAAATTACGAGCTTTAAAATGACGTAAAAAGTTGTATACCTTACAATTTAAAATTTCGTCGACTATTGTTTAATTAAATAATAATGAATAATAAATATTTACTAAAACTTTATTTTTGTATAGAGTTATCATTAGAGAGATGAATTTTTATAATTGTATGAATTGCTTTTAAAAATTCGCTTAAAAAATTCCCGAGATGTAGCGAAATACACAAAAAATTTTTAACTTTGGATCGCTCTCCTGACCAAACTTTGGATCGCTCTCTTGACCGAAATATTTGGACCATATTTCCCAGATTGCTGCTACCCCCTTATATATTGGGAGTCAGAAATTCGAATCCGTTTATTAAAATACATGTTTATTCAGAGAAAGAGTGTGTTTTTTTGTCTGATTACGTAATGTAAAATATCGTCTGCATAATTAACATATTTAATGTCACTCTCTCGAACCATTAAGAATGAGTTCTAGAACGAGACGATCCGATTATTTGATCAAAAGCTAATTAGGGTGGTTCATTTTTTTTTGACGCACTGCACATTAGAAACCACATTATGAATAGCTATAAGTTGTATGTTGAATAAGATTATTTTTACAAATAAAACTCCATTTTTTATCTCTTTTAAATAATTAATGCCTTTTCTTAAGGATCTGAAGGATGAAAAATTAATTTTTCATCATTCAGAAATGAACAAAACTGATGGTTATTAAAATTGATAAGTTTTGGTCAAAAGCCATTAGTGTTTAGGTGTTTATCAGTCTCTTATCATTACATTCTTGCCATAATTTGTGAAAGCACCCTTAAAGCAAAGAATTTAGATTACTTAATTGCCAATTAATTTAAAAAAATGTTTGCTTGTTCAAATTAATTTTGAATGTTTACTCTATGAAATAGTGGCAATATTTCTATAATAACCACATAATATGTGTTGTCAATTCGATGGATGTTGATTAAACGATTCGATAAACAATAACAAACAACTTTATTTTTAGTTATGATAATGAGAAGATGTTCTCTCGTTGATGGTTACATACATTATCCTTCTCTGGTTCAATGAGCGCATGCGCATTCCTAAAAAGTTACAGATGGCGCTGCTCCAATATGTTCATATGTAAACAATTATTTAATCTTTCAAGTAAAAAAAAAATATGTTTACTTATTCTGTAATTTTTTAATGATAACGCAGAGGAACAAACTTTTTGTCACATTTGTACAAATCCTTGATCTTGCTTAATGCGGATGTGTAGATTTCAAATCTGAAAGTAGTTCTAAGGCTACAAATTATTTTTCAAATGGCATTTTTAGTCTATTCTTCTCACTATGTAGAGGTTTAAAAACGTTATAAATAACAGGACAAATGTTGCGAAAAACGTCTAAGGCTGTTAGTATCTATCATTAAAATTGGATAGAAACCCATGCTAAGAAATGTCTCTGTACGCAGCTTAGGGCGTCTCCTAATTATTACCTTTTCAAAAGCACACGAAAAAACAGTTCATAATGTACGCATTACGCTCTAATGGCTTATCACGACATTTTCGTGTGCGGGTTCTTATGCACTTTTAATCCTGATGCTGTGCTCTAAATTTTGAAGAGGTGTGTCGCAACATTCGCACCACTCCCTGTTATTTTATAACGTTTTTAAACTTCTACATTTTGAAAAAAGAATAGACTAAAATGTTATTGAAATACTGTAGTTTCAGTAGAGAAAATGATTTTCCAGATTTGAAATCAGCGACGTGAAAATATGCAAGATCCGTTAAAAAATATCATGCAAAAGAGAAAGAAATGTTCCTTAGTGTAATCATTGCAGCTTGAAGAATGTGATATCTTTGTTTTGTATAAATCGCTTAGTAGGTAATCTCTCTAGACAAAAGAAATTTCGCCTGCTTGAGAGAAATCATGAAAAGCAAATTTTTAAAATCACGGAAATCCACCAGTAGACATGGATTCGGCTATAACCTCAAGGTTTTGTAGATACGTCTCATTCAGTTAAGGCCACTCGCTGAGGATTTAATCGCAAAATTCCACTAAAAGACGGAGATGTTAATTTCGGTGTTTTATACCGCTGTTCCAACATATCCCGTAGATTTTCCATAAAGGGGTATTTTCTATAAGGGGCTCCATAAGTCAAGTGATTTTGCTGATCAATCGAGATAACATTGGAGTGTGATAGGATCATAAAACCCGTCACATATCCTTCCCGCCTGATGAAGAGGTTGATTCAAATAGAACAACTAATCATCCAGGATGTTATTCGAAACATGCTGCTTCATGTAGGTGGTCATCTCGATCAGCGCAGATAAATTCATTACGAAAAAAAATACCATAAAATAAAAAAAGTAAAAACAAAAATTAAATATGTAATGTTTTTTTTCCTGGTTTCTCTACGGGTAACTAGCTTATTATTTCAGTGAACACATTTTGTTATGCAGAACCATTTAACAACATCCCAGATAGCAGTGTAAGGCTGATTTTAATGTCGGTAACAACGTTTATTACGAAGTCCAACAAGGTTTATAAATGATAAACAAATAAGCCATGCAAGTGTGAAACAATATTAAATTTAATTATGCTGATTTGCGCTTGCATAAACAACCCTTTTTATATTGAGATTGAATCCACCTTTACAAAACAAGACTAGGAAAACCTTCTGAAATCAAGGATGAATCAGCATTCGTAAATTAAATTTTAAAATTGTTCCAAACTGTGGATAAATTCACCTTCTCAAGGTTTATTTTAGATTTTGTGACCATCAATGAAAAAAGGTTTATTTGCGCTTGCAGTTATATACTCTCTTAAGCATTTTAAAAGTGAAGGTTGGCCTAATCATTAAGTTTTCAAAGCAAACAAAATGTTACACAGACAAATCTAGACAAATGAAAAGACTAGCTTTACTAGGACAAATGAAAAAATAGCTAAAAACAAGGTTTACAGTTTTTTTTCTCCAATGTCCACCTAAGGAATGACTTACGTCATACAGGCATCTGAAGGGCAGATTTGTTGGACACTCTTTCAGGGGCACCATATTAGGTGGGCCAACGTTACTCCCACAGTAATGACAGATAGTACAGAAAAATTACTTCAATGCCTTGCCCGGGATTCGAAACCAGAACCTTTCTGCTGCAAGGGCAGTTCCCTAATCCCTACACAATCGGTCGGCACAAGGGTTTGCAGTAAAAGCTTAAAAATGGTCGCCTTCTTCATTTGCATGCCTTTATTCATTCAATGCATGCCTTTATTATGATTTTTCTTAGCATGACTTTATTCAGTCTTTAAGGAAACAAGATTGGCATACTAATATTTCTACTAAGTTTTATAAATGGAATAATCATACAACCTTTCAAGTTCAAACAAGAATTAAAATACAGTGTCTGCCGTCATGTTGTCAGCTATTTGGGCATTTTGGAAAATTAATTAAAATAAAGTTTTTTTTATAATAAAATATTTAGAAATATTAAAATATTTAGGATGTTTAAGAACGTAAGTAACTGACAGGAAGTGTAGAAAAATAATATTTAGCCCAATATAATAACATTTTTGCGGTTTCTATCAGGAAACACGTGACCTTGCTAGAAACATCTTGGTTGTTGTTGTTTTTTTTATCTGACTCTAGGTTCAAAATAAGAAATGACACAAAATTTAGGGATTGTAATTTTTCTTTCCTCTTCTTTTTCAATTATCGTTCTTCTCAAAAGTCTTATTTATAATCTCACACAGATATTGCGCCGTTGATTAATGATCCTAAAAAGTTTTTCCTTGGCAGTTATTTATATGAACTGCACATACGAACCATGAGTTCATGCACGTAATGTTTAATTACAGCATTAAGAACCAATGATTATTGAATTGCAAGAGAGTTTAAATCACTGAGAATCAAGATGGTGGATTTGGAAGTGCCGGACGAAGGATGGGCGTGGGTAATTGCTGGTGCGGCTTGCATAATCAACATGTTGTTATCCGGATTATCCAGGATGATCGGTATTTTGTATGTTTACGTTTTTCAGCAGTATCATGTAACGAGGCAGGAAGCGTCCTTACCTTTCTCTGTAAGGAATTCTATACGAATGTTATCGGGTAAAGAACTGAGTTTTATTTAAAATTTTCTTTAAATTGCATCAAACCTTAAATTTTTTTTAATGTTTCATGATGCATTGTGCTTTGGTTAAAATTTAAAAGTAGTTTTAAGCCAAAAAAATTTTTTAAAATTTGTTTTCACGTTTGAATTATTTTTGAAAGAGTGAGTCTTGCTTTTAAACATCGGGTAAAGAACATGTTGGGTTATCGGGTAAAGAACTGACTTTTGTTTAAAAAAATTTTTTAAATTTTATCAAACCGTAAATTTTTTTAAATGTTTTATGACGCATTGTGTTTTGGTTAAAACTTAAAAATAGACTTTAGTCGAATTTTTTTTTAAAAATTTGTTTTCACTTTTGAATTATTTTTGAATGAGTGTTTCTTGCTTTTAAATATCGGGTAAAGAACATGTAGGGTGAAGTACATGTTGGGTTATCGGGTAAAGAACTGACTTTTGTTTAAAAATTTTTTTAAATTTTATCAAACCTTAAGTTTTTTTAAATTTTTTATGATGCATTGTGTTTCGGTTAAAATTTAAATGTTGTTTTAAGTTTACATTTTTTTTAAAAATTTGTTTTCACGTTTGAATTATTTTTGAATGAGTGAGTCTTGCTTTTAAATATCGGGTAAAGAATATGTCGGGTCGGATAAAGAACATGTTGAGTTATCGGGTAAGGAACTGAGTTTTCTTCAAATTGTATCAAATTTTGAATTTTTTAAAATTTTTTTTTGATGCAATGAAATGTTTAGGTTTAAATTTAAAAGTAGTTTTAAGTCAAAAAAAAATTTTTTTTTTAATTTATTTTCCCGTTTGAATTATTTGTGAATGAGTAAGTTTTGCTTTTAAGCATTTCAATTCTAGTCTTTCAAAACTGTGATAACTTCAGAAATAAGTAGAATGATCTCTTTCATAAAAAGGCGTTTTATAGCTTGAATGGCAATTCAAATATTTAGCATATTTAACCATTATTTTGTCACATGACGAAAAAAAGTAGATACACTTTACAAAACAATAGACAGCTACTTACTTAGGATTTTAGAGTTCGATGCCTTATAGAAAATAATACTATCTTGTCAATTTTTATAATATCAACTATGAATGTTTTTTTTATTTTTGTGATAATTGACTGTTGACGCATGTACAGCACGTTATTGGCAATTATCTAACAAAAGCACGTCTTTCCAGTGTAAATGTTTAATGTCTAGTTTTATAAAATTCTGCACTGAACTTATTTACTAAAGTCTTATTAGTTATGTACTGAATTATGCATCTGAGGACCCATGATATGACTTTTGAAGAAGACCATGGTCCATCCATAGTCATTGAAGAAAAAGAGAATAGGATAGATCAAATAAAATTTTTCATTATAATTCATAAAAGTTGTTTATAGTAAAAAGAAAAAGAAAAAAAAAAGAAAAAAAAGAAAGAAAAAAATATAAAATTTTGAAATCAAAACTGTTTTCCGTTTTAGCAGCAGCTTTTAAAAATATTGATTTGGATGAATTTGGAGCTAAAAATACATATTATTAATTTGATTCGATAGGTCCATTGGTTGGCATTGTGGGTCAGAGTTATGGTATTCGATCTGTGACATTTTGCGGAGGAATAGTGGCAGCAGCAGGAGCAGCACTTTGTTGGACAGCGCCAAATATCTTCTGGTTGACAATTTTTTGGGGTGGATTGCATGGTAATATTTTGAGCAATATTTAACAACTTTTATTTAAAAACCCTAAAAGACACTAAAAAGTTCATTCAATGTGCAAGTAGAATATAAAACTTGACCTAAATGCCATTATGACATACCTTTTTTTCTCGCTACGTTCTTCTAATTGCTATGTAATAATTAATAATGCCTTATCTTTTTTCTTACTTTTATTCCTTGCCTTCGGAATAACATTAAAACATATCACGAGGAAAATTAACAATTGGTATAAAAGAGCAGTTTTTGAAAAATATTTTTCCCCATGAATTTGTTTCGACGCGTTTCGGGAATTAAGTATATTATAAACATTCCATGTTATTAAATTACTATATGAAACCTGAGAAGCTATCACTTTAAATGATAATTTCAACAAAAATATTTCTCTTTCTTTTTATAGAACTTTGCCTTAAAATCTTTTTTCTTTTAAATAGTTAGGTTTTTGCATCGAAATGAGTTAATATAGTTAAAATGATATTAGTGTTATTAAAATAATCTTAACCAGTGCAGTTAAGGTTTTGGTGCAATATATTAGTTAAATAATTTAAATAATAGTAATCAACTAATGTAATTAACCTAAATTAAGTAATGTTGCGAATAATAATAAATGTAATTTAAGTTAATCAGTAAGTGATCCCATAAAAATAAAATATTAATATAGAAATTCATAAATTTTTAGATACACATAATCAATTAAAATAATTGCAATTAATAACTTTAAATACAATTAATAAATCAATATAATTAAATTAATTTCTTTTTTCTATTGGGTTAATTAATTTTTACTGCTATGTAATTAAACATTTTTGCCACCAGAAAAAATATTATATATAGGCAATAATATCTACATATTTATGTATAGGTGTTGGATTTGCCTTTGCTAACACACTCTTCCAGGTAATTGTAAATCAATATTTTGAGAAATATAGGGCTACAGCATCAGGAATAGCTTTATCAGGAGCTTGTGTTGGAAGTTTGGGTTTTCCCATATTGATCGAAACTGTGCTGGATTCCTATGGACTTAGTGGAGGTTTTCTCATTCTTGCCGGCGTCATTTTGCATGTTCTGCCACCTGCACTCATACTGAAATCACCGTCTTGGGTGGAAAATCCCGAAAAATATGCTAAACTATGTAAGTGAAGTTGAATTCATTGTTAATTATCTAAAGAATTTTCAGATTTTGAATTTAACCCTAATCTAAATGCATGGCGTAATCTCATATAATGCTAATATGTATTGCAAAATATTACTTTTTAATTTAGTTGCAGTTTAAAAAAAGATAGGTTGTAGTCATCTGTACAGAGAAATATATTTTATTTTATTTTATAACTGTCGTTGAGCAGCCGAACCAATTTTTTGAGTTTACGACTACTAATGTTTAACTATGTAGCCTTGTAATTTTGAAACCAATCCAAAAGTCAAGGGAACTCCTGTATCAGGTATTGGGAGGAATTTGCGTTCGTGAACGTTTTGATGGAACTAACCAGCATTTGTGTTACGTGAAGAGGAGGACCACGAGAACCTCCCACGGTTAGCATGACGAAAAAAGGACTCTAACCTATGATCCACCTACCACTGGGGATATTTCATGTCAGCACTGTGGTCGGTGTAAACCGGATGCGGATTGAGAAATCCGCAACCGGTTTAGATGAGTTGTCACTCTCATAATAGAGCACTGAAAAAGGCGAAGTATTTTTTTTCAATGCGTGGTAAAATGGCAAAGCTGACTCAGAGGAATTCAGTGCCACTCTACGACTAAAAGCTTAACTATTAGTCAGAGTCATATTGAGGAGTTTATAGTCTTTTAGTACTTTAAGTCGAATTTATAAAATGTTGTAAAAGCGCGAGTGAACCACCTGCAATAAGTGTCACATCCTGTAGAATAATTCCTTAGCATATAGTTGGCTAAGCCTACGTCCCATTTCATGCTATTGTAGTAAGTGACAGTGCCTGGCTTCTACTCTGTGCTGTCGTCTACAAACACATTCGCGTGAGCACTATTCAGAATTATGGCATTTCTTTTCTTCAGCTCATATCTATAGACCTATAGTAAGAGTTTTGTTTTGACGAAAATGATGATATTACTAAGAAGTGGCACTGAAAATTGAAAAGAAATTTTCTCTCGTTTAGACGTGCTTTCCCAATATTGTGATTTTTTTAAGGAAAAAAATTTGTCCGCAAGTTTCACAGAGGTAAAGAAAAAATATCAATAGTCCTGCTGTATCCGGAGTTTAGGTACAGCTCCATAATTATATCACCATATTTTCCCCAAGTTTTAATTTTGATTCCAACTAGCACGATTTCTTTGTAGAATTCTATTATTACAGAAATCTATTAAAAATACTTTTACTTCTTTTTAGATTTTATAGGTTGGAATCAAAAATTTGAATTCAAAGTTATTTGACTTGTTCGTCATACGATAAGTCTACATTAGGATTTACATTGTAATAGCTTTTCAAGAAAATTCTTTCTTGCCTAGAATTATAATTAAAATAACTGTTTATAATTAGCTTGTACATATTTTCAGGCGCTATAACGAATTTTCAATTCAATCAGAGCTCAAATAAGCTACTTCAGACATCGAATCTAAGATTATATAAAATGCATGGGAAATAAGTTTGGGATATTTTATTTGACACTGTGGTCTCCAATTTGTTCTATAAATCACCTTTGCAAAGTTAATTTTGCAAAATCAAATCCAGGCTTACATCTTTAGATACTTAAAAAGTTTTTGTTTGAAGTTTAAAATGTTCCTTTTTGGTTTTTCTTAGATATTTCTATGATTATTTGCTTCAGTTATCAATGTAGAAATCCATAATTTAAATTTTGTATAGTTAAAAGCAATTTTAAAAAGTAAAAAAAAAATAATGAGCCCCAAGTATCTTCAAAAACAATATAAGAAATTATAAGAAACGGTTAAAATGCCCCCCAAAATGTTTCTAGTATTAATGACTTGGGGAGGGGATGATATTAGTTTTAAATATCAAAAACTTAAAAACGAGGTAACTTATAAAGTTATAAACGATTTAAACAAGGAAACTTATGGGATTTCTCTTAATTAAACTTAGTAGCATATAAGCGAGCATTTCCAAATTGTTATATTGTTGAGGTATGTGAATCTGTAAATATTATGCTGTTTTAAAAATTATTTGGTGTATTAGGTGGTCCGGAAAGTAATGTCGTTTCGGTGCATTTGACATTTGTTATCTAGATTTTATTTTAAATCAATAATGCATTCACCTTCGTTAGCAACAACCTTTCAATGCCTGATCATAAATGAATCGAAAAAATGAATGCGTTTTCAAGTCTAATGAATATTTAATGCGCCGAAACTGCATTACTTTCCAGTCCACCTAATACTTCATTTAAGAATGTGCCCTTTATGGCCTAGTTATTAATTCTTCTTCTTCTCCTTCTTCTCATTGGCACGACAGCCCAGGATAGGCCTTAGCTTTCTCAACAAGCCTATGCCAAGCCATTTTTCCCTTTGCCAAGGTTCTCCAGTTTTTTATCTTTAAAACTTGTAGGTCCTTTTCAAGGCAGTCTAAAAATCTTAGATTTGTTCGTCCTCTTTTTCTTGTACCTTTTGGCCTGGCACAGAAAACTTTTTTATTAATATACTTTATAAAACTTTAGTTATTAATTAGCACTAATCAATTTGGATTTTCTAATTGATTCTTCGTATTGGGAAAGATAGGAGCTTGGTACTTGAAAATCGATCTTTTATATAAAAATAGTTTTTTAGCATTTTATCATATTGCTCTTTTTTTATTTTGGTATGTTCTTAAAATGATTAATTGGCTTACAGTGGCTAGAAAAAAAGCTGAGCAAGCAAACAAACTGAAAGAATCCGTTGAAACAATTAATACAGATGTTACAGTCATTCTTGAGCAACATGAGCTTGGGAGTGTTTACGACCCCAAAAAATATGCTCGCCAGAGATCACTGAGCAATCCAGTTGAAGAGCTCGTGTACCCCATTAACAGTAAAGACATTTTCTACTCAAAAGGAAACGAGAGATTTTCAAATTTTGAGGAAGAACAGAAAGTCGTTTGCATTCGCTACTTAATGAAACAGACACACGTAAGCATTTATCTCTTCTTATGTATTTTAAAATGTTCAATTATTACTTTTGTAGCTCTAAATGATGGTTGAAACGTTCTTTTCAAGGATTAATGCAGTTCAGCAAAAATGTCATTATATGTGCAGTGCGCAAAAAAAGAAAGAAAAAAAAAAGAAATATGGACTACCCTGAATAACTTTTGATCTAATGATCGGATCTTCTCGTTCTAGGACTCAATCTTAATGGCTCATGGGGGTGACTTTAAATATGCTTATTAATAAGTGCAGACAATAATTCAAGTTTCGAAAACGGACACAAAAACGTACTTTTTATAAATAAACATATCTTTCTTTCGATCCCGATCCCCAAAATATAGGGGGTAGTCGCAATCTGGGAAATATGAACCCAATGGTTTGGTCAGGAGAGCGCTCTAAAGTTTGAACCCCTTAATTTTACTTTTAGCGTATTACACTATATCTCAAAAACAGAAAGAATCGAATTGAAAAATGTTTGCCTACAATTATAAAATTTGTTAAAATTTTGTGAATCCTACAACTCTGTTTTTTGTAAATCCTACAACTCCTTAGCATTGTAATTTTGAGCCCAATTCAGAAGAAAAAACTCCTCGATCAAGTATTAGGAGAAATTTGCCTTCGTGGAGGACTTTTTGATGCAACTAACCCTCATTGGCGTTACACGGAGAGGAGAACCACGAAAACCTTCCACAACTAATCTGGTAGCAAAGGGACTCTGAACTATGATCCGTCTATCATTGAGGATGTGATATCACTGAGGATATATTGTGGTCGGTGCGACCAGGGCGAGCAGTTCGAATCAACCAGCTATCGCTGGTATTGAACCCGTGTCACCTCATCATCCTCTATCTCCTGAGCCACCCAATAAAAATATTATCATTAAGTCTACAGATTCATTACTCAGGTATTTAGGTATTCATTCAATAAATAAGTGATACGATTTTCATTTTACAGGCTCCGCCTATCTCTGAAGAAGCAGCTGGAAAAAATGGAACGTTGCACACAACGGACAAAGCCGCTGAAAAAGATGGCGAGGTTCCACCGTATAATGAAAAACAAATTAAAGAAAAAGGAAATGAAAACCCGAGCATCATGGAGAGTATTAGGACCATGGGAAGGGTGTTCAAAAATCCAGTTTACATTCTCATAAATGTGTGCGCGTCAACTTACACAATGATTTTCATTCCAATTCTAACTGTGATTGTGGATTACGCCATAGATAAAGGAATCGATGAGAGTTATGGGAAATATCTCATTAACGGACTCGCTCTTGGAGATTTAGTTGGTAAGTATATGCTTATAATATTCTACATGATTTCCCTTGTTCTAAAATGTATTTCCATTTAAAGAATTTGTGGAAGATGGTCAATTTTAAACATAACGCCTTCAAATAGACGGGCAGAAGAATTTCTTTTCCCAATGCCTACCTGGGGAATGACCTTTCATCAATACAGGCATCTGAAGGGCAGATTTGTTGGCCACTCTTTCAGGGGCACCATGTTAGGTGGACTAATGTTGCTCCCACAGTAGAGACAGATAGTATAGAGAATGAAAGAACATTCATACCTTGCCCGGGATTCAAAGTCAGAACTATTCTGATGCAAGACCAGTTCCCTGACAGTCCAGTCGGCAAACAGTAATTGATTTTTATTTTTTTCATTTGTTATCTTTCAGGTAGACTTGGCTTTGGTTGGGTGACAGACAAAGACCTCATGACCATACCCGCTTTCATGTGTGGGATGCTGGTGTTACAAGGAGTCTTCATTGCCCTTTTTCCAATGGCCATGTCAATTTATACCTTCATGACGACTCTGGTGCTCTACGGAATGGCAGCAGGAAGTATGTTGGTGCTGTTCCCGGTACTAGTGCTCAAGTACGTCGACAACAACAGCCAAGCTGTGGCTTTGGCAAACGATGGATTACTCTCTGGAGTGGTTTCATTCTCTATACCTCCAATGATAGGTAAGAAGCAGTAGATTTAAGATATTATGTAAACCTTTTCTCCTTATAGTTTCTATACTATAACTGCGGTGAACTTCTGTTAGGGAGTGTTATGCTGTGCGATGCGTAAATGGAGATTGGAGAGCTAAAACAACAACACAACATTTACTTTAAATAACACAAATAATAAGCAGAGAAAATGTATTACAAAATGGCGTAAATTTACTATCTCAAAAATCAAACTTATGACTTGCAGATCTTCAGCGTCAGTGACGTCTTAATGGACTGCGCCAGTGTCTCCCAAAGTGCGGTACGCGTACCCCCAGGGGTACGGGAACAGTTTAGCTGTGGTACGCGTTCTTATGTGAAATATCTTGCAACAAACGAGAATTTCAAAAACCTTTATTTAAAAACAAAGCTAGCCATGAAAATTTACGATTACGTATTTTTTTATTGGCTATTTTTTGCAGAGTTAACAGTTAATAATTAGTGGCGTCAACAACGAGTTGTGATTTTTAACTTTTGTACAATTTTTTTATAGTAAAAATATATTAGTTTTTTTATTAGTGGTACACAGCTTTGCGAAAAAATTAGAAAGGGTACACAAAAGTCATAAGTTTGGGAAACACTGGACTGCGCCATCGGAACCCTCCGATAGGAGCTCGTGTCCCTCTAAATAGTCCACGGCATCTTTATTCAGCCTTTTTCTCCGTGTTGTTGCCAGTCAAGAAAGTAAAGATGGTTTATAAATCACCTCTGAGGTATTCGCAAACTAAACAAAAAGCGTATTACAAATCGATGCAATCATTCTTGAGTTATTAGCGAACAGATGCACGTTATATTTAGTATAAACTGATATGTCCTGCATTATTGTAATATTTTCTACCACAATAATTTGTTATGTGTTACCATTTATTTTGTTATCAATTGTCTTGCAAAATGTTAACCTGCAAGGTATTAGTTTCAGTTGAAGCCAAAAGACAAATAAACGTATTATATATGGTGTTGGGAAATGACCACACTTAATCTATATGTACTTTTTGGATTCTTGTGAGAATATAAGACAACAGAGTTTGCATATTTTGGGCACGCATAAGTTAATAGTTAAGTGACAATAAAGCTAAATCGTCATCGAAACATGTCGAATCACTAGCGAGGGAGTTGGAATGAAAAACACAAAAATCAATTTGACTGTATCATGTAACTTGGGTGTGTTTCGAATAAACGCATATCAGTTTCTTTCTTTTTCCTAAGGCAGTCGAATACGTTTTCAAGTCTTTAGTTCCTCCTTCTTCAGTAATGATTCATAAAATTTCGATAATTTTTCTTGATTAAATATTAATTTATGACTCTTATGTCTTTAATTTCCACTTTAATTTTGAAAAGGAACTTTAAACTATGCGTATTAATGGTAATAATTACAGAATACCATGTTTGGAATTCCAAGTTCATTCTTCGCATGTTCATTAAAAATGATTTTTTTTCAGGATACTTCAGGGATTATGTTGGATCTTATGATGGTATGTTCTACTTGCTAGGTGGAATATCAGTGATATCTGGAGGGCTGTGGTTGTTGGAACCTATTGTCGTGAAGTACTATTATGGTGAAAGTTTTCAGGAGGAATTGAACAGTAAAAACTTATTTCAAAACATCGAGAAACAAACAAATGAAGAATCCAAACCCAGATGATTTCAAGTAAACTTCTGTTGTACACTTCTAGATGGTTGGCACACTTCTGCATGACAATTGAAATACCTCAGCGAATACATGCGTAATAAGGCACGTAATGTTCTTCCTCATACAACGAGCCAAGAGTATTGGTTAAAAAAATAAAACAATATATTACTTGTTTCGAAAATATATTTTAATTTTAAATATATTTTAATTTTAAATATACTTTTATTTGAAATATATTTTCTCTGTATGTTAAAAAAAAGTTAATAGTAACTACTACCTCTGTCTTGAGTGTTGAACTTTACGTTACATTTTTTTATTTTACTTATTTATTTATTTATTTTGCTGCGCAAAAATTTTTTAGACGTAGAGTTTTGAAATTATGAAGATGTGTAGAAAATGCACACGGAGTACGAGAGAATAAAAAAAAATCACTTCCGAAAAATAGTTCGAGCTTGTACTACAAAATAACCATGCAGCTGACCATTTGAAATTTGTTTTGTTGAAAGGTCCGTTTTCACGTATGAATTTAACGCGAGTATTTTTCAGTAATTCCTACTCGTTCGAAAATTTTTTCACAGACATGTGTATAATACTAAAAAAAAATCGTCAAAATCAATGGGCTCTTCTCAAAACTTTTTGTTATACAGCCCTAAACGTTTATAGACTCAAAGGTTGCGTTTAGTTTTGCAAATATATATATATACGAGGGTTGTCCATAAAATAAGGTTCCCAAGGAGCTGCGGANACATTTTATTTGAAAACTTTAAATATTTTCTGTAATTAATTTTTATTAACTTAATTTATTTATTAATAACCTTATTTAATACATTCAGTGCAGGAATAATCGAAAGAAATTTACTTATATGTATACATTGACACAAAAATGCTTGGATAATTATTTTTCAAAATAAAATCATGCAATATAGAAACAGATAGCTTCAGGGGACAGAATCTTCTAACAGAATCTTTTAAATACTAATACAAAAATATTCTTTTTTTAGTAATAAAAATGTTATAACGAAATTGTACAACGCATGCTAAAATATTGTATTTAGTCTTAAATTTTTTTTTATTAGCTTAATTTATTCAAAGCTGATAACCTTATTTAATATATTTAGCACAGGAATTTACGACGAATTTTTAATTGATATGTTCTGAAGATATACATATTTTTTACTCTTCTACGATTATGAGACAGTATAGTGACTATTTAGGAAACCGAAGTAACATAGAAGTAAAAATTATCACAATCAATTATTTAATTTAATTTATTTATGAATTGTGATTCATTATCGAGGAAACATTAGAAAGCTTTTATTTTTGTAAAACACATGCACAGATTGCATTTGTTGTTTCGATTTTGAAATGTCTGGCTGAGACACGGTGGTTCAACAATTTTGTATAAAAGCTTCCTTTATCGGCACTTAATCTTAGTTCGACTCTGAAGATCAATAAAACATCTTGCCTAATCTACTAACAAAATTTATTTGTGCAAAGGGATCATTTTTTTAAATAAAAAAATTCTCAGATCTCGTTATGATAACATGTATACACAACGTGCCTGCATGAAATTATAATAATTATACATTATATAATTATACATTTTATAATTGTATAATTATGCATTTTACAATTATATAATTATGCATTTTACAATTATACAATTATACAATAATTATGCAATAATTATATATTATTATATATGATTACATAATTATGTAATTATATAACATAAATTATAATTAAACATTTTATAAACAAAATAGTCTTTTTGTATCGAATTATAAGACGAAAAAAAACACAATAATGAATGAGAAGCAACCACAGTGATTGAGAGGAGTCTCATAGTTTATAAAAAAAATCAGCAAAAAATTATCAATTTATGTTAAAGTCTGAGTCACTTCCTTCCCCTCCATTAAATACTTTGAAGGAGGCCAAAGTTACAAAAAGTTGAAAAATAATATTTTTCCTAAACATAAAAGTGTTTTTTTTTAAAAACCTAATTATACATTTTTGAAAACTAATCTTTAGAAGGGGTTATAAACAATAAAGGAAAATTAAGTCATAGAAGTAAAATAATTAAATATAGAAGCGAGACAGTGGATACGGTTGAGAAGTAGAGTAGATTATTCTTTTTTGAGCTGATTTTGCTTTAAAAATTATTAAAGCANGATTTTTCTTTAAATATTTTAAATTGTTATTATTTCTCATGTTTTCTAAATAGAAAAGAGAGAAATAAAAGTAGAAAATGAAGAAAATTAATAAGTTTTATTAACTGCGCATAAGCTGCAAGTACATAGAACTCATAAAATAAGCTAAAATATTGAGAAAAAATGGAAAATAATAAAAAATAATGACAAGAGAAGAGAATTATCAAAAAAAAAAATTTCGAAAGTATTTAAAAAAATATAATTTCTGATAACTGAAAGAAAAAAAAATATTAAAAATCCGGAAAAACTACTATGCTGAATAACTTTTGTTCTGAGAATCGGATTTTCAAGCGTTAAGTGCCGATCTTAATGATTTGAAGGGTTGATTTTAAATATGCTCATTAAATTACTAACTACTAATTTAGTTCCAATATTCAAAAAAAGTTGTAATTTTTAAATTTCCTTTAAGAAATATTCGAGTCTTTATCCTCGAATTTTGTATTTTGTCATAGCTCAAAATGGGGCAATATTTTACTATTAGATGTAGACAAATAGGCATGTTTTAGGTCTCGTCAAAATACCATATTGGAATTTCAAGTAGGTATTTTGTAATAAGCTTGTAGATATTTTGAATTGTAAGATAAACAGAAAAGTTTGGAAATCTTACAATTCAAAAGTTTAGGCCTTTAAATTTGCACAAAAGCAGTAAAAGACTGTATCTGCCCGCTGTTAAGGCCTGTTTACACGGTTCAAATTCTTGAACGAAGATTGATTGATATTGATGGAAACTTGTTTTGCTTTGAGTTTGGATTGCGTAAACGATCATCCAAGTCCTTGGACGATAGTAGAGCATGTTCTATTTTCCACCCAAGTTTTCTCTCCCTTAACCAATCAGCGTCTTAGGTTTTGTGACGTCAACAACCAGGTATCAGATTATGTCATTTTGTTGTCTGTTTTCATATATTTTAGTCCAAATAAATTTATCTGTTGCGGTTTATTTGTGTTATTATGATTTTATTTGAATTTATTTAGTAATTTTAAACTTATGTAAGTATTCTTTTACCATGTTGAATGTGAACAATGAGCATGCGCAAGTTTTTCTCCCGACCAATCAGTGACATTCAAGAACTTGGATAGTGTGAACGAATCAACCAATTTTTGGACAGAGAAATTCCTCCAATTTCTCGGATTCAAGAACTTGGACCGTGTAAACAGGCCTTCAGTGTCTGACTTGCACGAGCTTTTGAGAAGGTCAATGACACGGAGGTGTTGAAAGAATTCCACTCCTATTTAAATCAAATTATTATTTAAATTTACAATTTATCTCTTATACATATTTTACAGTTAAGTATAAAACAAAAGTAATTAATATTTGCGAAGATAACTTTATTCAGTTATGATTTTTACCATGCCGTATTTATTATTTCATGACAATGCAAAAAATGAACAGATTTAATCCTCTAGCATCCAATCTCCGCTCCAAAAGTTGATTACGTTTTGATTTAAGATACTATCTATCTAAAAGCGGGAAGATTTCCACGCTGAGTTTAGAAAATTTTCAATGTTATCTCACGAAATCCTAAGCCCATGTTCTAGGTAAAACTACCTTTATGTCCTGGTAAACAAGGTGTTGCATACATCTAATCCAATGTTTCAAAGATTTTTCATCTAAAAGACTTGACAGTTTTAAGCCGTTTTATCTTGCACAACTTAAGACCAGATAAGCAACAACAACCTTTTTTATCTTGATCTTCCTTCCAAACGTTAAACAAACAAACAAACAACAGCAGTTAGAATAAAATTGGCAATAAAAATAACTTTTAACGGAATTTTTAATGCATTGCCTGGAAAAATTTTCAGGAATAATAGTGAAAAAACAATGAATGGTATTGTACTCATTCAAATTTCTCTCTGTGTGCGAGTTTCGACTCTTATCCAACTTTTCCATTCATTTTATTAACACCGTCAAATCATTTGGCTTTTATTTCAATAAGTATGGAAAACGTTGAGCTGAGATTCAACAATTGCATCAGTTTCATTAACCTGGTTTCTTATATTTCTTAGAAAGTTTTAAATTAGTACGATTTTCATTTGTAAATAATTCGAAAGTGGATGATTATATTGCATTCCGTTTCCAAATAGTTGGATATTGTAAGTTAAAATGACAAAATTAGAAGTTCCCGATCAAGGTTGGGCATGGGTGGTGGCTTTCGCTGCTTGTATCATTAACATGCTGTTATCTGGGATATCACGTATGATTGGTATTTTATACGTATATGTGCTACAAATGTATGGAATTACCAGACAAGAAGCGACCCTCCCTTTTGCTGTAAGGAATTCTGTCCGTATGTTATCAGGTAAATATAATTTGATGGATATTTAAAATTTATGTACCGTAAATACAAATTTTTTAAGCTCTTTTTTTAAATTACAGCTTTATTTGCTTGCTTTGACAATGCTATTAACTAACTTTGATCTAAATAGGAATGCTTGAAAAATTATAATTAAGTAAATATAATTGCGATTGTTACTGCATAGTAGAGTTAAATTAACTACAGTTAACTAATTTGTATTTCATTATTACAGTTAACCTTTTCATATTGTTATTTTCTCAAATCATTGTTTAAATTAATGTTACAGTACCACTGAATCAATGAGCTCGAAAACCGGTCAAAGGAGAGTTTCTACTACAAATTAGACGCACTATTAGATTGTATGTAAAATCTTAATTATCATGTCATACTATACAGCTTTATTGTTTTTCCGCGACTGAAGCTACTTTGCACTTGTTTATGTTCGTGTATTAATTGGTTAAATTAGACGATTTGATAAATCAGACGATAGATTATATAAATATAGAATATTTACTATATCAGGTATTATTTTAGTATATTATAATAATTCGTCCAAATTATTAGACGCACTGTAGTCTTATATATACANACATATCGAAAAAAAGAAAACTCTTACTAATCACGTATTTTCTTATAATAAAATGTTTCCCGATAAATATTTTAATCATAGATTATTATTTATGTAACTAAGAACAGAACAGCATATATCGTTTTTAGACAGCTTGTTGCTGTCAATTGAAAACTAGAGAAGTCTCCTTGTGGCAGAAAATGCTTCACTTACTGTTAAACCTTGTATTGGAGAACATCAAAAATTTAAAAGAACATTTTATTAAGGATTTTTACTTAAGGTTTCTTACCGAAGAAAGATCTGAGAATGGTCATTTTTATAATTCGACACTCAACATTGAGCATTCATGCACAATCCGACAATATTTCCACAAGTATTTATTGTCAGGTGAAATGCATTTTTCTCAGTATGCGTATTTATTAAATATATATTGCATTCAATTAATAAAGCCTTAAAGTTGATTTCCACAATATTTTATAATCTGTGTCTATGAAGTCTATTATATATATATATATATATCAAAGCATCAGCTTTATATATATGACTATCAGTTGTTGACTTCTAGCAATGGTATTATACTAAATGATATTGAATATTACTATCAGTGGCGTAAAAAGCACCCCCCCCCCCAAAGCTTGCTGCATGGGGGAGATTGAAGCAGGATGTTTGAGCTCGCATGCTCCGGAAAAAATAACGCGAATAGAAATGTTTTTTATTGATCCGTTATCTTTTTAATTCACTTAAGAATAATAACCCTTTACTAAACTTTGATTATAATTATTGTAAGATAGTGAGATATTTTCTGGCATAATAAAAACTTATTTAATTTCAAGTGGTAAGTGTATACAATGTTTCAATTCAGTGACTTTTCTAATTTCCACCTTTTCATCTCAATTGTCATTTTCATTTTCTCAAATTAAATTAAAATTACTGATTATAAATACCTCTATGTCTCTTCGCTATAGTGTTTATGGTTCTTACTACGTTTATAAATTCTTTGTGGTAGGGAGCACTTATAAATCTTGGGTGTATTTAAGCTAATGTACGCCACTGTAATTAATCTTTATTTGATGAGATGATTCTAAAAATATATTTTGCTTAATTTGATAACATAAATCAGCGAGGAAGGACAGCAAATAAGAATTAATTTATAATTATGGCTATGAATTTTTAAAAATATATTTCGCTTTATTTGATAACATAAAGCCATGGGAAGGACAACAAATAAGAATTAAATTATAATTATAGCTATGAATTTCTAAAATATACTTTGCTTAATTTGATATAGCCACTGGGAAGGACAATAAATAAGAATTATAGCTTATTGTGCCAATAAAATGTTTTTCAGTTTTGTGAATAATTTCGTAGTGTTCATCAATACATTGATTATTTTTTTCACCCTGTACGAAAAACGGATATTCAGCTAGCATCTATCTAGTTGAGAATTCATTCAAACTTTTTAAGTATATCTTTATTTATGAGTTATACCAATTTACAAACTTCGAGTCGTGTTGTAGTGTAGGAGAAGATACTTTAACAAAAAAGACAAAGGAAAAAAAAGCAAAAAAACTGTTGAATGAGAACTGAAAATTAGGTTTAGTGTTAACTATTTCAGTGTCTAAAATAGTTTTATACACTATCTACCAATAAGTATTTGGACACCTATGCAAATGACTATATCTGCGGTCCAGAGATACGTCACGCCCTCCACCGGTATATACCGTGTAGGGAACAAAATCGACTTTAGTCCCATGCAAGATACCTACTGCATTCTTTTGGAGAACAATGTGCTTCCTACGTTGCGGCAGTTTTACAGGGTGGACCCCTGTTACTTCCAGGACAACAATGCCAGCTGCTATGTTTTCGAGGGCCACCAAGGCTTGGTATGGTGCCAATAGGGTTAATCGAATGGACCGGTCGGCCCAGAGCCCTCTATCGAGAACCTCTGGGACGAGTTGGATCGCCGAATTAAGGGGTGTACTGCCCGTCCAAAATCGGTGAAGGAACTTACATATCTTTTGCAAGCCGAGTGGAGGAAAATGCAACTAGCCGTCATGCAAGGACTTGTGGAAAATATGCCCCGGAGGGTTTACGCTGTAATTGCCTCTAATGTAGGCTCTACCAACTATTGATTATGAATAAAGTTTGTTTTTCTTTTCAATCACACGTGTCAAAATACTAATTGGTATATAGTGGATTAATTAACTCATAAATAAAAAAAAATTACAGTTCTTTGTTGTTCATCACAATTCCTTTCCTTTTCTGTTCTTAATTTAATTTCTCAGGTCCTCTTGTTGGAATTGTTGGTCAAAGTTTTGGTATACGCACCATAACATTCTCCGGAGGTGTAGTTGCCACTGTTGGAGTTGCGTTATGCTGCATTGCACCTGATATAACTTGGATAACAGTGTTTTGGGGTGGAATGCACGGCAAGTATATAAGATTTCTTTTTTTTTAAAGTGTCTTACACGATTAAACAGAATAAAATCAAATAAACTGTTAGCTTAATTGAGATTTTTAGACTAATTGAAAGTAGCGCAATATAATTATACACTACAATTTACGCTACTATAATTACACTACTATATTTTCAAATAGTTCAGATTTACGAAAAAGACTATAAAACGTTACTGGACATCTTTGTTCCATCTAGTAGAAATTGTAAAGTATTTACATGATTATAAAGAAAAATTTCATTCCAACCACAATACTGCCCCGCGCGCTTCAAACATATCGACTTAAAGAAAGTAGGACTGTACTTATAATGAAGTTCACTAATGTCATTCTAATGTAAAATGCAGAAACAAAGAATCTTCTTCTGTTAAATTTTGCCTTCCATTGGATAATTTCACTTCAAGAAAAAGAAGATCATTGATACCCAAACAAGTGACATAAGACCTTAACGCCAGCTGATTGTTTATAAACAAGATGGCGTGCTGAAGTCGAGCTAAGTGTCTCCATTAAAATGTTAATTAACTTGAAGTTAATTAAATACAACGTCGTATCACACATCGAATTCGTTAAAATATAATTATTTCTCTACGTTCTTTACTTAACTTAGATTTTTTTTGTGCATTCTATTGTAACCGTGATACATTTTTGTTTTATGTACCTGGCAACTTCGACACATAATTAATTTGTTTATGCTCTACATGACTCGCGCTTGTCTTTTTTATTATTCAAGAAATATTCAGTGAAAAAATTTAAATCTTCGTAAAAGAAAATAGAACGTATCAAAGAAAATTCAAACTTGACGGGCTTGGATTGCCTGAAATAGTATGGAAAGAACAGTTTCTGATATAAACAAAAGCCACGTTTCAACAACCAATCAGGATTGAGATAATACCCATATTACGTCACTTGCAGGATTCCATTTCTTTAAATTATGATGCATACTTAAGTATATTTTTTGTACGGCGTATTTATTTTATTCTANCTTCAAGAAAAATTAGATCATTGATACCCAGACAAGTAACATATGACCTTAGCGCAAGCTGATTGCTTATAAACAAGATGGCGTGCTGAAGTTGAGCTGAGTGTCTCCATTAGAATGTTAATTAACATGAAGTTAATTAAATGCAACGTCGTATCACACATCGAATTCGTTAAAATATAATTACTTCCCTACGTTCTTTACTTAACTTAGATTTTTTTTTTTGTGCATTCTATTGTAACCGTGATACATTTTTGGTTTGTGTACCTAGCAACTTCGACACATAATTAATTTGTTTATGCTCTACATGACTCGCGCTTGTCTTTTTTATTATTCAAGAAATATTCAGTGAAAAAATTTAAATCTTCGTAAAAGAAAATAGAACGTGTCAAAGAAAATTCAAACTTGACGGGCTTGGATTGCTTGACATAGTGTGGAAAGAGCAGTTTCTAATATAAGCATAAACCACGTTTCAACAACCAATCAGGATCGAGATACCCATATTACGCCACTTGCAGGGTTCCATTTCTTTAAACTTATGATGTATACTTAAGTATATTTTTTGTACTGCTTATTTATTTTATTCTATATCAGAAAAAAAAATTTCTTCCAAAAAACTACTGAGCTGCTCTTATTTTTATCTTTTAAATCTTAAAAATTAAATTATGTGATTACATGAAGGTATTTTTGTTATTAAATGCTAATTAAAATTTTGAAGTTAATTAGTGCTTGTCACTCGAGTATTCCTTCAAATAAGTTTCTAATTTTCTCTTCGCAGGTATTGGATTCGCATTTGCCAATACTTTGTTCCAAGTGGTGGTCAATGAGTACTTTGAGAAGCATCGCGCCACTGCATCAGGAATCGCTCTGTCAGGAGCGTGTATAGGCAGTCTTGCGTTTCCAATTATGATAGAAGCTATTCTGGACACTTACGGATTGTCTGGAGGATTTCTCATGATAGCCGGTGTGGTGATGCATGTTCTACCACCCGCTCTTCTCCTGAAATCACCCCCTTGGGTGCAGAACCCTGAAAAATATGCCAAACAGTGTGAGTTTCAAACATTTTTTATGAGGAATACTTGTTTGTCATCATAGCATTCATAAAACTAATTTTAATCCCTTATTTTGTTCTAAATGATTCTGATAAAAATTAGTCCGAATATCATTTTTTATTTTTATTTTAGTGCCCTTATTTATTAATTTGTGACCCATTATATATAAATTTAGTCTGACTGCAAGGGGACTCTAACCCATGATCCGTGTAAAACTGAGGATATTTCACGTCAGCACTGTGGTCGGTGCAAGCCGGATGCGGAATTCGTATCGACCAGCCATCACCGGGATCGAACCCTGGTTCACCTCATTGGAAGGCGAACGCTCTATAATCAATATGTAAAATTAATATGTGAATTAATGGTAACATTAATATGTAATGCTGAAATTAATGTGTAAATTATATGTAATTTGTATTTGTAATATGTAAATTAAGATTTCAAAAACTATTTTTAAGGGTAGTCCCAGCTGAAAACCTTGTGATTATTACATGTAATAATGCAAATTGTTTTAATTCTAAGTGAGCTTAAAGCAACTGCTTTTCTAAACTGTATGATTACGAGTTTCTACTTCTCGTTCGCAGTGGCTGCAACCAAAACACAGCAGTCAGCAACTTCTATGGAATCTGTATACACTACTGATTCAGTGGTAGTGATTGACGGAAAGGGAAAGGAACGAGGCTCGCATCCCATATCGGACATAAATAACCAAGAAAACAATTCGTATGGCAGTTCCAAATTAACTTTCACTCAAAAAGGACAACCAGGGAAAGGTTCGGAAGTCATTTGCAATTGGTATAGTATAAAAGAATCCCCAACTCTAAAGAAAGCTCACCAGGTAATATTTTAATGTGTTCATTCTAAGCAATCTGTACTTCATTCATCGGATTAAATGAAAAGTGTGTACGAAATAAATATTTAGGAAGATATTTCAGCTAGGGTATGATCCTACGTTTTGATTAACACATTGCATGTAGCTCACGTGACAGTATACCATGGAAAATGTTTTAAGTATGCATAAATGGTACAGAAGATAGGAGAATACTCAGTCAATACTAGATTTAATCGACAACCAATTTTTTCTACTGAACTTGTAGAGTTAGCGACAAACTTTCTATGACTTTTATATAATATTGCCCAATATTTTTATAAATTTCAATCTATAACGGCCGAAATAAATTTTTCGGGAGAGTTATTTCGAAAATCGCCAGCAATGTGTTCGAAATGCCAAATGTTCGATAATTGCTAGCAAATTGCCATCATCTTTGACAGCAATGTGTTATTTGCTGTCAAAGCTGACTTTTACAGAAGACTGTAACAGCAGCACTATTAAAGTAGCGCCACACCTATCGAATAATTTTCTCAGGCGGAATGTTATCTCCCTTCTGTCACGCAAAAAGTGAAAGTATTAATTTCGTGCAAGAACTGGTATGATGCATAATTTTCATTGTTGTAACACTATCCAAGCTTTGTAGCGTAATATGTAACAAAACAAAATTCATTTAACTATTACGTCACACAATACTGAGTCAAAGCTAATGCTTTATTCTCTGCAACGGAATATTATCCTAGCTTTGCCATATTAAATTCGACAGAATGGAATAATTTAGTAGATGTTGTTGCCTTGTCCAAGTAGTACAGGAGAATAAAATAGCAGAGAAGGCTCCCCAAGCAGTTCTGAAAATGTCAAACACCCTTGGTAAACAGAGCAGTTGATAGTCTGTGTGGTTTGGGTCTATGTTGTAGAGTTTAGCCGTTGTAGAAGGACAATTGAAAATATGGCCTGGAGAAAATTTAATTTGAGGACAGTGAGAAGTGAGAACGAGTATTGTAACTTCTTTGACCATCAGGGGATATTTCCATTCCTTTACGTAGTCTGGCTATGGTTAATGAAGTTATCCGGTAGCAATTAAGTTCTGAAATAGAATTCTTCTTGAGTGGTTAGGTGGTAAGTTTACGTCTGACTATTGCATCAGCATCGGTAAATATTAAGCTATTGGAGAGCTTCAGGGAGTTTTGGTCTTATTTGTGCTAGGTTATCAGCCTACTTATTGCCGAAGACGTCTATGTGGGTCGGTATTCATTGCCAGGTGCATGCTGTTTGTGCTGCAACTATTCTGTTTACAAGAGCAATTATTTCTTGGATAAGCTGGGAGTTGCTCTTTGGGATCACCTAATCGTCACCCCAATGTAATACGTTAAATATTTTAGTAACATGGAATAATTTTAATAAATTCTCAAAAAGACGGGGATAATTCCTAACATCTTACTTTCTATGATGGTACATAACCAGAGACATTTCTATTACCAAAGCTCTAATATATTATTTAGGGATCTTCACTACATACTTCACCTTCTTAACCAGTACTGTAGTATCTCCAAAGTTTTAAAAAAAATGCTGTTCAATTTTTTTTTCATTTACACTTTTTCGTATTTTTAGCTTTAAATTCACAAAGAAGATTAAAATGCTATTAGAATATGAAAATATTTGTATGTTGTTATAAGTATATATGATAAGAGTTATTCCTAATAGCAAATTACTTTTGCAGATGGATTTAGCTGTGAACACAAGCTCTGAAAAAGTGCACACAATTTCTGAAAAAGTTGAAGACGCTGCTCCAAGCAAATTAAAATCAATAAAGCAAGAAGATAACCAACAGTCTTTAATGAATGGCGTCAGAAGCTTTGCTAAACTTTATACCAATCCACTCTACATTTTAATTAGCGTGTGTCTAACAACATATATCATACTAATAATTCCAGTATTCACTGTTATCGTAGACTACAGCATTGATAAAGGAATACCGGAAAAGCAAGGAAAATATCTCATAAACGGTTTGGCTATTGGAGAGCTAGTCGGTAAGACTTTTCAGTTTATCATTATAGGACAGTTAAAAAAATATGATTCTAAACTAACTTTAAATGTCAAAGCTTTAATCCCTTCCTTCTCGCTCTCGTGAAAATGACGGGATGAGAATTCGCCCTCCATTTCTCGCTCCCGTGATATTGATGGGATGGAGTGTTCAGTAGTAACGCGCCAGTAAGAATAAAACTAATTTATTTCTTTTGCCCCGAAAAATTTTATTTCTCATTTTACACACCAGATGGTAGTACCAGAATATCTTTAAGGTAATTAGAGATAGTTAATTTATTTTAAACTAGATGTCAACACTAATCAAATACGTACTACGAATACAAAAGCCAAAAAAATAGGCACTTTTATGACCATTTTCTTGAAAATTAACCGATTGTTAAGGGGTTAAGCAATGGTATTAAAGCACTGTCAACAAAATTCTTTTAAAGTTTCGACTTTTTTTTGCAACGAAAATCAAATATCGATTTATCATAATCAAATATCATAAAGTCGAAGAGAAAAATTAAGAATTGTGCTGTTTGGTTAATGCATAGCTGGCACTTTGAAAGAGGTTTTTTTTCTAATATCAAAATAGTAAATGCGTCGAGTATTCAGATTTTTTTTCGTAATATCAAACAATTCATCATTTTGAATATCGCCAGAACAAGGGTAGTATGTATTTAGAAGCATACACAAGGAAGCGATGGGACACAGCAATTGGACACAGAACATAATCAAGTTCCAACTTTTTTTGCATAAAATTTTTTATTGCAAATTACAACATTATTATTTATTTGTCGTATGAAATAAATTCAGCAATTTGAAAAAGTCTTCCTTTCACTCTTAAAGTGTTTCTGTTTTTGTGTAATACTGTATTAATATTTCACAGGAAGACTCGGTTTCGGTTGGGTAACTGACAGAGGAATCATGACTATTCCAGCCTTCATGACATTAACACTTGTATTGCAAGGTGTTTTCACCATTTTCTTCCCACTCACCACTTCCCTCTACACATTCATGGCTGTTCTCATGATGTTTGGCATGGCTTCAGGCAGCATGCTTGTGCTATTTCCTGTACTGGTCCTCAAGTACGTTGACATAAACTCCCAAGCTGTAGCCATGGCCTGCGATGGATTCATTGCTGGACTACTTTCATTTTGTTTCCCCCTTCTTATAGGTAAAGTATTGACCTTAAATCTATGTCTTAAATGCAAGAATATCTAATGGTGATCATCGTCAGAAGAAGAAAAAATTACATAATCAAGAACGTTTTGAAAATTTGATTTAGAACAATTAAAATGACAGGTCAGATAACTGTGGTCGAAACCAAAGCGATAACGAAGGAACAATTTACGAATCCTATGGGAATATTGTCACAAAAAAAACGATAATAACATTGAATTTTTGGGAGGAGGTTATAATTTCGCAAAAATTCTTCTACCGTGTCACTAGTAACGCATCAACAGGGAAATAATTAAGGAGAGAATGGTGATTGTTTTAAAAAGTTAGATCCAATATGAATTGAATTACTGTAGCTAGCCCTCCCTTTCGAAGTGGGTATATGCTATTATCTCAAACACAGTGTGGTGGAGAAGGGTTAAAGGGAATATATACGGAATATTATCCTAG